ACTCTGCCTCTAGGCCTGGCAGTCCATATAAATTCAGGCCTGGAACTTCAGCCCCTACTTGACCTGTGTTGTTGGAGTGCCTGTTTGAGTTCTGCCCTGGCCATCCCTTGTTGATACAGGTCCTGACCTCCGGACTGACTTCCTAATGTGACCCTGACTCACCACTGTGGTCCTGCTTGGTCATCACTGGCTGGTTCTGATGATGCTTATTGTCAATGGACCTGATCCTGATCCTGACCTTGACATACAGATTAATTCCTTGGCTTCATCCTTGGGCCAGCCCCATCTGCCCAAAACAAAAACCAAGAGCCTGGAGTGAACCCAGAGGCAGAAAATCTTCAATTTTCATTTTACTTTAGTTGTCATAGAATAAAATAAGGTGTGTAACATAAAATAGTTGGCTTTTAGTGTAATATACAATGCAAATCTTGGGATAGAATGGATATTTAGGGAAATGGTTACTGAGTAGAAACCTTTAATTCATGATGCCTTCTTCCTTGAAGAGCTATGAGAAGTTCTTCAGCAAAATCAATTTCTTCTGATCATTTAAAAAGTAGGATTAATCAATTAGTGTAATGCTATTCAACATGACAAACGTAAGAGGATTAAGCCAAGGCTTGTTCAAAGACACCAAAATCATTACATAGAGAAACTAAACTTTGCAATAGAGAAAAAGGGTATTTGAAACCAAATCTATTGATTCTGTTTTCTGTTTTACTCCTAACACTTCTCTTATTTTCTTAAAGGCAAAGCTTTTGCAATTTTCTTATCATGGATATCTTTAAGACTACAAGAACCATTTCTAATTTTAACCACAAGGAAGTTAACTCTTTTTGAAACTTCTTGAGAGCATCTTAAAACTATCAAAAGCCCAGAAATCAATAATATCACCTGGCAGGAGATGTGAACTACTCAAATTCAAGTCAAGGTCCAGCTCAGCATGTTTATTGATGGTTTTGCTGGAGGGGCAGGGAGAAGCTGTTTCCAGCACAGACTTTTCACAAACTGGCCTGAGGCAATTACATTCTGTCAGACATTCTCAGCTTGCATAATGTATACAATATCTGAAACAATGTGGGTCTAGGCTCCTGAAGAGCAAGAAAGAGATGAACGAAATCATTCTGAAATGAAGCTGAATGCTTAGTATATTACTGTGATTTTTTTGTGAACATTTCTGTCTTAATGACCTGAACCTTAAATATGGTTCACAACTGAAACAATGAGCAAAGTACTTCACTGATTGTTTCAGTGACTTCCAGAGTATTAAAATTAAGCCTAACTTTTTAAAATGGAAAAGCCACATGGTGGCAGGAGAGAACAAGGCATGTAAAAAAACCTGTGCTACTAAATGCTTCCCTCAGGTTTAACTACATAATGGTCCCTTCTACAGCACAGCTGAAGGTCTGTGGCTCTATTTTTGAATCTAACAAGCACTAACATAACTTATTAGTTGCAATGTTTAAAAAACTGTCCATGACTTCTAAGTTTCTGATACTACGCACCAAGTTTGCCAGAAATGATACAGTAAATGTTAATATTACAGTAAGTTTTGAAATTATGCAGTAAAGGTATTGAATCTGCAACCTGTTTTCAGATTGTCTACACTGTAATATATTCCCATAGCATCAGAGATGCAATGACAAAAGGTGATCTTCACACAGTTATTTTCCTATTGTGGCTCTCATGGTGACACAACCAATGACAGGCCATGAATATTGCTTCAAATTCACAGTTCTATGAAAATGAAATATTTAGCCCTTAATTTTCGTGTAACTTGCTATACCATCAACAGCTCTGCTATGCAAAAATGAGAAGTCTGATTTTTCAGTTTAAGAACAGGCTAAACTTCTAATCCTCCAATTTACAACCATCTGGCCATACCCTTCACTTTAATCACAATACACTGTTTGTAGATATCTTAGTGCAGTTCACACTATTTTCTAGTTAATAACCAGTGGAAATAGTGATGCACTTACCTGCACACACTCTTAGTGCCTACACAGGTGAAGCCAAAACTGAAGACTGACCAGTTACTTTTGCAATCAAGATATAGTTCTGATAGCTGACTTCTATTAGATAAATAATAAGTGGATTTTGCTGTTTAGCAGATGCATAATTGGGATTCCTAATTTAAGAGCTGTGACTCTTTAATTCATGTTTGAAGACCTCATGGGAACTTTTTCATTAATTCCATCATTTAAGTCACTGACTTGACACATTCCATAAAAATAATTTTCTTCTAATCTGAGTATCTCTATTTTAAAATGTTGAATCTTACTAATAACTATCCACATGATTTTCAGCATATTTGATTTTAACTGGAAAGAAGGCACAAAGAAAGTCAATAGTATACGATGCTCTTATCTCCATACCTATCAGTGCAAGAACTTTCTTAGGACTGTAAACAGTGTTGTAAAGTTTCTGAAATCCTGGTGTCCCTCATCATAACCCTGCTCACACCCAGCTCTTAATGTTAACAGGAGCACCATAAGCTACTCACCCTCTCATAGGGCAGGCTTATGTCTCTCTAAACTCTGGTTTATTGGATTTTTTATTATTTAACCTATTGACCACCACTATGGATCACACTGAGAAGTTTTCTAATAAAGACCTACTTTAGTGATTAACTGATCTGACAAGAAAGCATTTACAAAAATCTGAAATGGTCTTGCAATTGAATAGTTTTCACTTCCTGTTCTCTTTCTATACTCAACTTTCATGGCTGAACTTCTCAGTTTCATTTTAAGTCCATATTATTCTTAATAATCTTGACTAATTTATTTCTCATGTTTTTCCACTCAAAAAAGCAAATAACTTTTCCTTCATCTTCCATTTTCCCTATGTATGCAGAAAAGGAAATAATACAAGAGCTGTACACTAACTTGTAGAGAAAATCTTCACCACTGTTAGTATTTGCTACTTCTGCATTTTCTAAAATATTTATTCTTTATCAGACTCTTGCTTGAATGTGAAAGAACGTGCATTCCTATTGTTGTTGTTTCTGTGCCATCTGTTAGCTTCCAGGTTCTTTTATTCCTTTCACCCAGGCATTGCAGGCAAATCTTTCATTTAGTTCTGTTAATGGTAACCTTAAGAGTTCCATAACTGCAGCCTTAACTGTCTTTAAAATGTATCTTTTGCTCTACTTCTTCCTAGAAAATGTTCTGGTTGTTTAAAAAGATTTTTTTTTCTTTAATATAATGCAGTTGCCCTGTTTCTACTTGCAAAGAAGGATCTCTGATTTCCCTTGTGCTACTCCTTAAATTACAAGTTGCCTGTAAATATTCACAAAGCTCTATTGTTTTAATCCAGATATCTGTTATAACTCTTTTACCATGATTCTTACAGAAACATTTTGATGCCAACAAGCAACGAATAGTTTAAGGCTGATACTTCTTCTTTATGTCCTTTTCTATTATTCTTGTATATCGGCTGTATGTACTAAAAATTCCTCAAGTTTTCCTTCAATCCATTGAATACAACGTGAATTCATTTTAAGCAGCATGATCCTACTACAGTGAATGTGAAAAAATCCTGATGTAAACCCATGGAATGTGTACAGCAAGTTTCAGGCTGGGAAATACTGAAATGTTAAGAGATAAATGTTAGAAGATTATTAATTCTTACAAATGTGAGAAATTCAAACTATCCGGTCACCTCCTAGGTACTCAGTGTTCTTAGCAGTGTTGCATTGACTCCACATCACGTTCCCTGTACTTCAGTGTAGTCTGAGGTGATTTGACTCAGGTGACTGAAGTGGCCCTCTCTTAACTCAGCCTGCTGCCTTTCTTGAGAAAGAGCTGGACACTGAAACCACAGAGCAGACTCCACAAACAAGGGTAGAAGGGTTAGGAAGTAAGAAAAAAGAGGAACTCAAATGACATGAAGCCTGTATTTTCTCAGGACAACCCGAGTGTGTCTCGAGTTACTAGGAAGTCACTATTTTGATCAAGCTTGAACAGCATGTGAGAGCAGGTTAGCACTGATGAAGTGCTACCTCTGGCTGCATTGCTAGGCCTGATGTGTGCCTGCTCAAGGAAGCAGCAGAAAACCAAGTCATCTGCTTATATTTTTAGGTGGACTCTTATGGTCCCAGTTACATGACTGTTGTGTTGACAAAAATATTAAAACAGTGAGGATTTGAACTGTGCATACCAACATTTGCAAGAATTAACTCTATTTAGTCTACATAAAAATAAATTAGTTAAGGTTGCTGTTTTAGTATGTTCTAATACTTCTCAAACAACCTTCAAAAGAAACACAGTTCTTAGAGATGACTGTCTACTGGAGGTAGAACCAAGGCCATTAATGAGAAATTAAGAGGGACAACTCTAGCTCCTTGATGGACCTCCTGATTTACAAGGACTTCAGTACTGTGAGTAAATAGCAATGGAGAAAATGTGAAAAATTAATATTGAGGCAGAAAACTCATGCACAGACTGATAGAAAGGAAAATACCAGTCAGGCAGCTAGTATTGCAGTTTGCCTGTGTGTTTTCTCTCTCTGTGAGTTGTGAAATGTTTGACTTTTTGTGGCCTAGAAGTTCAGATGCAGTGCTCATGTGCTCATGAGATAGTAAATCTCCTCATCTGCTCTGTGTTGTTGTTAAATAGTGAGTGATTCCTATCTCAAGAACATATTGGGAAATACAGCTTCACTTTTTTAAGAGTAGATAACTGAAATTGCAGCACTTTTTTTGCGAGATAATGTCACACTGCTATATGGAATGTCCTACTGCAATTAAAAGCCATTAGAGGGATGAAAAAGAGTGGTAGGTAAAGGATGGGGTAAAGTCTAAAGGGTTTCATCTGCTGCTTACTATTTGCTGCAAACAAGATCTTGCTAAAATTTTCTTTAATGTCACCGAAGGAGTCCTATTGAAAAAAAACCCTCTGTGCTGTGGACTTTTCTTCTATTAAAGAGAAAAAATACTTTTTGATAAGAAGCAGGAATAACAAATACATATGCAAAGTTTAGAGAAATATTCTCCCATTAGCAGCTAAGGATTTTATTTCCCCATGTTTATTTCAATTTACAAGCTAAATTAATACCACTCAAATATCCTTCACCGTGACACAATAAGACTTCAAAAATTAATTTCTGGTTAGTATTTGTAATTTCTTTGTAAAGATGAGTAATGTAGCTATTTAGCAGTTGTCCAGAAAAAGGAATGTGAAACTACAATATGTTTCATAATCAGTAATTATCTTGATCTTATTACAAATTATTGACTTAAAAATTTACAAAACAAGTATAAAAATGTTAGGCACAATTGAAATAAATAAAACTTCAAAAGCAAACACTTGATGCTGTGCAATTTTTCACAGTGAGTTGACACACATTCACAAAACTAAAACCCTTGCAAATATAGATTCATTGGTTTCTTATGGCAAAGTCCACTATTCTATAAAAGAAAAAAAATAATACTTTTATTTGAAAGACAAAGCTTTTATGATATGACACATTTTGTGCCACTACCATAATTTTCTTACACATAAAAATAATATGAAGGATCTCTCCTTCCTCCTCACCCGAGCCTGATCCGATTCTTTCACATTTTAATAGACATCTTGGAAGCTTAACTTCTTTGAATCAAAAATTTTGAGGATACTCAAAATATATATTTAATAAATCAAATTGCCACTGAAGTATGCAGTGTGTTTGCCATCAAATACAACATATATGCTGTGATGTTTGCCATGCAACACAGTTCTCATACCTTCTGCTTCTTCTGGAGAGAGGTCACAATCCACATTTGACTTGTTCAAATCTACTAACCCAAGATAATACAGTAAATAAGCTTGACTGTGTAAACAACCCTTATTAATTTCAGACCTAAATAAAGTAATAAATAAAAACAGCTTTAGATTTCCCGTTGACCAGAAGAGTTTCTTGCCATTAGTACACCTTAAAACCATTCTTAACCATATAAAGAATTTAACTTCTTAAAACTTTAAATTGCATGAGGATTTTTGAACATGTAACAAATTCTTTTCTGAAGAAAAACTTCATTTTAAGCTTTCAAAGTCTGTCTTTTCCACATGCAATTCTTTTCTGTTTTCTGCACACAGAGTGTCTAGAAATCAGAAATCATTTTAATGGAAAGTAAAAATGCTGTATTCCTTACAATTTGAGCTTTTAGCTACCTTGCTGAGGTTCTCAGCAACAGTGAAATAGTGCTCAATTCATGATGTGAATATTAACTTATGAACTGGACAAGGTTGTTAATACCTATTTTTATAAAATGCACAAGAAAAAACCCGAAAAGCTTTTATTTCTCTCCAGCTTTCTCTGGACTGCTCAGTAAATGAAACTGAGAGAATGAGGAGAAAGGACTGCTGAAGGCATGACACAGATTATTCACTGAGTTCCTTGTCAGAGATTTTCTGTGCCTACCAAAGGATCTTCTCGTTTGGCTACAACCAGACTTCTTTTCTTGTCTTCCTCTGTTACAGTCTGACTAATCTGTTCAAACAGCTTTGACATCTTGGCAAACCTCAGGTGGTTCTGAAACCTTCGTGCAGCAAAAGCATAAAGCAGAGGGTTAATACAGCTACTGATGAATACAAGTGCTCCAGAGATGTACACTCCTTTGTCTACAATTTCTTCCAGTGCCAAAGACATCTCCTCATTAGAGAGTTCTATTTCAATTGAGATAATATCCAGGATGTTAAAGAGATGGTGAGGGAACCAGCACAGAATGAATGCCACCACAACGCTGGCAATGAGACGTTCCGATCTCTGCTTGGCTTGGTAAGTCATTCTGCTTATTCTTCTTGCAACACACGCATAACAAGTGCAAATGATGAAGAAAGGGATTACAAAACCTGCGAGGGTCTCCAGCAGAAGATAGGACACTTTCTGTCTATTAGAAGAGTAGTTGCGACATGTGCATAGAAGCCGGCCGTTCATTTCTTCTGTCTCTTGAAATGGAATGACAGAAATGCCAAAGGCTATGGACAGGAACCAAATGAGGAATACAATCAAAGAAATTTTTTCTTTTCTTCTGTATTTTTGAATTGTGAAAGGGTAAAACACAGCCAGTAGCCGCTCTAGGCTGAGTGCTGTAATCAGAAATATACTGGCATACATGCTGCAGTAAATAATGAAAACCAGCATTTTGCAGAAGATGACTCCAAAAACCCATGAGTCAGCAAAAGAGTAAATCCAAATTGGTAAAGTGATCAGAACAAGGACATCAGCAATGGCCAGGTTCACGATCAGCAGGACTGAAAGAGATACTCGCTTCATTTTTGTACAAACAGTCCAGATGACGATGCAGTTTCCAGGGGTGCCAATTATAAATGACAAGCCCAGTATCATGCAGACTACTGACCTCACAATATTCCATGTTGAGTTGCCACTGCTTTCCTCAGCTTGACTCATTCTGGAAATTCTTCTGCTCCTGGTTGCTCTGTGCTCTGCTTTTATTCTGCAGGTGTTGAACTACTTGAAAGTTCTCCTCTAACTGATGTTCTGAAGGCTAATACAGACTATGAGCTCACATCCTCATGCTCACTCTCACAGACATCTGACCACATATGGCAGTTCCTGTTGTTTAGGAGAATGGGTATTTTTGCATACAAAGCAAAAGTAAAAATACAGTGCAGGACCCGACTCTGCTGTTAGTTATACATCCATTGTGCTTCAGCAAATTTTACAGCATGTTGGTGGTCTTTCTAAAGTGTCCCTATTTAAAGAAACTCACTACTGTTTTGATGTTACTGATCTAACCAACAGCTGTGAGGAGAAAGAAACCCTTTTTATGCTATTCCATTCTTGCTCCTATGAATAACTCAGCATTTTATTTTATAAAAACAAAAAAGAAAGAGGGGTGGCAGGTAAACTACAAATGTGCATTATATGTTTGACATGAATTTTAAAACACCAAAAATCGTGCTTACTACCTTCATGTCATCTTTTTTAATTCAGCAGAAAATAGTCAATCATATTTTAGAAATGCCTTGGCATAAAGGAAATCAACGTACTGGTACAATAAAGTAGGTAGGAGCTGCATTTCTAATTCTCTGGGAAATTACAGTTCTTTACCAAACAATAACCATCAGAGTATTCAGTCTGGATGTAGAGTTATAGGAGGAAATGCTCCATGTCAGAGAGAAAAATATATGATTACATTATTGCCCTCCTGTGCCAGCAATGGGCTAAGACTTTTATGATTTTTCCTAGGAAACTTGGTAGACAGTGTAGTACTCAAATCCTAAATGAATCCTAAATTCTTCAGCGTCTGGCCAGAGAGTATGAACTATTTTGTTATGCTGATTTCAAAACATCATTTGAAGTTCATTTCTAAAGTGTTAAAGGAGGAACTAGAACAGCAGAGCCAACAGAAATATTCAAGAAGTGGAACTGGAAGGGTATTTACAATAAAAAAAGATTCACAGAAACAAAGGAGTTATTTATAGCTTTCTTAAATTTAAGAATGTGATACAGATTATTTCCCTAATTTTACAAACCTGGCAAATGTAGTGCATAGTATTAGGTCAAAAAATATTTTTCACCATGGAAAAACGATTGTAACATCAGCAGTCCCAAAGCAGCTTAGCTGGTTTTGCTCTCATAAGAGTATAATGAGATCAAAAGTAAATCCAGAATAACCCCACTGAAGTTAAGTATTATACCTTCAAAATACTATTTGTGTAATACAGATTTTAATTGGGATTTAATCTGATACATGATTCCAGTTCCTTTCATTTTTAACTGCATTTTATGAATATTGGATAGGGGAAAATGTGAAACAAGTTGTTTGTATTCTGAAGGGAATTTCTGCAAACCACTTGTGAAAATTAACTAATGGGAGGAAGTGCTGGGCAGTATCTCTTCTTCCAATGAAATCACCTTTACACACATTATTTCTCCAGAAGTACCTTCATAGACTATTTTTTGTTTATTGACAGTGGTATATCTTGATTGAATTAAGGTGCAGATTTTTATTGGAAAAAGATAATCAAGGAGAGACTGCCCAGTACCTTGTCACTCACTGTTGAAGGGACTGGCAGAATCTTTAAATAAAGTCAATCTAGATTATGACTGTTGTGTCACACACTGATTATCAAGACTTTGACCTGAATTGCAGAGAGTTCAGGTGACTAAAGGCCTACGTAACCAAAGACTCTAGATATGTAAAGAAAGCTACACCAATTACTAGATATTCTGTTTAACTGAAAGCTGGGATAATTGCTAAAAATCCTGTGTAGCAGTAAGGTACACTAACTGCTAGAAATTGTAGATAATAGTAAGATATGTCTGTAAGTGAATTTTTATGTCATAATGTACTCTCTTGTGGCCAGTTCTCATTCTACCAAGGATCTCTAAAAGGACCTGTATGTTCTGTACCATTGTGAGACATCTCTGCAGGACTTTTTGATGAAACTTTACTTTTGGTGGAAAAGAGCAGTTGTCTGAACAACCATTGGTATAAGTATAGTTCTAATCCAGTAGTGTATGGATGTGCTTAAGCATCTGGCCTTACATTTTCCAGAAACACGTTTCTCCCCTTGAGTTGAAGTTTCTTTGCCAGATGGCCTGTGCCTCTGGCTGTGTCTTTCATTTAAACAAGAAAACAAATGAGTCCGAATTGGAGCCACAGTCTGGAATTTCTGTTTCAGAAAAATCCCAGAGAAGTGTTGAACTGCTAAGATTTCCTTGAGTAAGACTCTGAAGCCAGGCTATTAGACTAAATATCTCAGCCATTAGAGTTAGCATTAGCTCTGGAACTTGTTTCTGAGCAGCTCTACGTGACAGCTGGATCACTATGAAAACTTCAGACTGTAAGCTGTCTTTAATATTCTCTAAAAGTGTCCGACTGTTACTTATCAAATTTAAGTTAGGAGTACACAAACTTTATGGGCAATTTAGCAAATATTTTCATTAACAGAAGGAGCAATATGGTGTAGTCAATAACTGCTAAAAACAACAGTGGCTGAACAATTCAAATCTTACTCATTCTAGTGGCCACATGTGGGTGGGCTTTAATGAATGAAAGCATTTGGACTTCAGACCACAGAAGCTCTGGTCTACTTCATCACAGCAGTGAAATTAGGCTGCATCTGTATGTTTAAAAAAACAGTTTAAGTTTTTTGTATGCATGCATATTATATGTAGTGCAATATGTCAGTCATCAATACAGGAAACTTTCTGTAAGTCTGTTACTTTTAGATTGGTAAATAACTTCAGAAAACTTTCCAAGCTCAAAAAGTCAGTGCTACTGCTATGAAATACTTTAAATAGAATTTGCTTTGCCTTAAATATCAGGTGTGTTTCTCTCATCCTTCAAATTATTGATTTTATTCTGAATGAATGTATGAGCTTCCCTCTGGTGGATGTTCTGTGATTTACACTACCAGTGAGCGTTTGCAAACAGCTGTTTGCATCTTTAAATGTAAATTGTAATTGATATTTTCACCTTTTGCTTATTTATTCTGAGAAACAGAGTTTCGCTCCAAAATGCTGAGAGCCTTTGGGCTAAGAGTCCCTGCTCAAAGTGTATCCATCCCTCCATGCTGTAAGAGCATTCCTGTAATGATTTACAGAGTAGCTAATGCATGACAAATGGCAAATCCAGAATGTGGAACTTTTATTCAGAACTCTACCAAGAAGACTTTTAAAAGCCTCTTTACATTTTGTCTTCAGAAGGATCCCCTAGATATTTGTCTCGTAAGAGATTGTAGAATAATGATTATCAAGTATCATGTATCTGCTGAGACACTGCAAACTGATGTTATAACCTCATTTATTGTTAATGTGAAAGGGAAGAAGTAATTAGTCTGAACCCATCAGCTCTTCAGCCACTGAATCGAGGAGACTGGCTGGTTTTGAATCAGCTACTACTAAGTAGCTACTTGTACACAAACTGTTGCTAGCCAAAATTCTTAATGATATAAGCATATCTGGCACCACGGTTGCTACTGGGTAAATCAAATACACCGTTTACATGCTCTTCCTTTTGAGTAATAACTTACAGATGACAAACACTGCTCGGATGATTTGCTGCCAAACATTACTTAATTAAAAAAAAAAAATTGTTTAGCCAAACCTACTGGCATTTCTACCTTGTTTACTAGGCTGGCATGTAAATATTATTTTGCTATATGATCAATGTCTCTTTTTGTTATTCAGCAGTGATGAAAGGAATTGTTTAGCAGAGCATGTTTTAGTGAAGGACCTGTGATTAAAACCAGATTAACACAGATACTCTGCAGTGCCAGAGCAGCAGCACCAGACGGCAGCTGCTCTGCCCGTATGGAAGGGGCTGTCCTTGCATTTCTGTGTTTGCAACACAGGGCGGCACTGGGAAACCATCCCTTGGTTTTTGGCTGAGCCTGCAGCCCCGGAGGTGTTGCTTTTCTCGGCACAGGGGGACACGGAGTTCAAGGCCATGGGTCTCCACAGAACTGATTCTTTTGCATAAGAAGGTTAGGTGTTTGACTAAAATTTCAATAAAATTATGGAGAAAAATCACAATGTCTTTTTTGGTCTTGTACATCACATTATTTTCCAAACACTCATGTCTCTAGCTCTCTGATCTATTTTGATATATATCCATTTCCAGGGCTACATTCTGTTTGAACTGATCTGGTAAGGACAGCTCCCTCTGCCACAAAAAATAATATTAATTTTAATAAAGAAATTTAATTTTCTATGCCTCTGAAGGAACAAAGTTTGGAAATTATTTTGTAATTATATTAACAATTGGTCCTTCAATGTAGTTTCCATTTGTGTGTTCTCTTGGAAAAGCAGATCAAATTGTGATCTCCTGGGTTGTGAAACAACCCTGTCCAGCAGATTTGAGCACCTTTGAAGACTTATTTAATTCCTTTATTACACATTCCTTAAGCTTGGTCCTAGTGTGACGACATGAAGTCTTGATTTTGTGGCCTTGTGTCAGGAGGCTGGTTAATGGTGCTGAAATTAGCAGACTGTACTGATTTTATGGGGAATACAAAGATCTTTCTTCTGCTCTGTAGCAGCCACCATGTGTGTGTTAGGAATGCCTGGGTGCTCAGTCACTCAGTAATTAGCATACCTGACATTCTGTTCTGCAAAGCCAGAAAGCCAAAGCTGTGCCACGCTGCTCTTCAGAATGATCTTATCCAAGCATTCTTAATCTGAAACAAAAGGTAGTCGGGATTCATTCTGAGATGCTACACAGAGCCACACTAACAGCTATTTAGTAAACACACACATAATATACTGTATGGAAAAAGTGTAAGATATGCATAGGTAACGTTTTATCATTCTACATGTGAGCTATTGCTTCTGTAGAATTTCTATATAATATTAGAAATGACTGTGAACAATGATAACTTCATTAAATGAAGCATTTTTACTGGAAGAAAGTGGTATCACCATTTTCTTAGTTAAAACATATAACTCTTTATGGAATTTAATAGAATTTAAAGCTAATAGACTGTAAAATCATCTGATGTCATACTTTTTCTATATTTGACTCTTGAGCCTAATAATATGATCTGGTTTTAGGAAGAT